CTTTCTCTGGGGCTTATGGGATTGTACAATGAAGTGTTTTTAGAATCCAAGTAATTTTGCTTCAATTTCAGTGTAATTTATCTCCAAAATCACGAACAGAATTTTTTATTTAGCATTGTAATGGCCATGTAAATGTGACTATTTAGCAACTCTAAAAATACAAAGCAGTGTTCAAATCCTTCAGTATGTGGTTCTCATGCAACTCCCACTGAATTACCAGGCCAAAGATCTTGGAGATATATTTAACCTAGAGCAACAGCAATTTAGAAATAATTGTTTTATCGTTTGCAGGCCTCAAAAAGGAGAGATTATTTCTCTAATGATATTACAATTTAAGGACTTATTTTTGGAATACAAACTGACTCCATGTGTATATGTAAACATCACCTTAGTTGTCAAGCTTCCATCAAAATTCTAGTGATATTAAAAGGAAGAGTTTTTATTCACTTCCACAATTTTTGGACAATGACTGAAAATATTCCAGACTGGATCCAGCATAAGATCTTTCTGTACCAGAGAGTACTAAGACCTGTAGGTCAGGTAATTACTTTGAGCTGAGGGGTGCATATGAAATTTTTCTTCTTCATTATTATTACTTTAAAAATCAACAATTTTACTTTGGGTCCAATCAGGTGCTCTTCTGCATGCTTTGATACTGAAGAGTAGCTCTACAATACTTGTGTATTGAATCAGAAGGTGATGACCTTCACGAGTCTGAAGTGTTCATTCCGGTGCATCTGGATTATTAACTGAAAATAAACTAAATAAAAACACTCCAAAGCCTTGAAAGGTCTCTATTATGAACACAAGCTGGTTATGTAGGAGTTTTTAAAATAGCATAAGTCATTTGTTTCCTTGACTTATATGCAATGATGGTAGGAGGGTTGCTTTCTCTGCATCTGTTCTATTAGATGTGACTGGAGAGCTGATAAATGTTTTTAACAACAGAATGAAAGCATTTATTATCTTTATGTAGTAAGATAAGATTGATTTACAGGTGTAAGTAAATACTGTGTGGGTCTGAGGAAAAACTTTACTACAACACTCCTGATTTTACCACTTTCCTGATCCACCTAGTCAGTTTTATGCCTCTGGTAGGGTTTGCTACTTCAAATAAACAAGCAAGACCTAAAAGTAGAGCAAGCACAGAGGAAGAAGGGTTCCTCTATTGACTTGTACAAGCTGTATAAGTTTATGTATTGCAAGCTCAAATGTAGTTAGCAATAGATCATTATCTTGTCTTAACTCTTCTGTGGATTTTTTTGGTTTTGTGTTTTTTAGTTGGACAACCTTGTGCTCTTCTGTTGATTTCAGATATGTTTACTATATGATCTGTGTGGGTCACTCTTTTCTCTTGTATCTCTCTCATAACCTTAAATATACGTGTTTTTCATGAACTTGCTTTTTGTAGGTATTTTTTCAGGATTCTAGAAAGGGCTGGTGAAGGCTGAAGCTTTATTTGCTGTAGCAGGATTATTAGATTTTTTAAGTTACTTCAAGAAATACTATTTATTTTGAATGGATGATGATGGTATCATCATCACGTATCATTAATCATGTAACCTTGCTAATCAAGTATTTTTAAGTGTTGGAATATCAGATCATAAGGAGGAATGCAGTGAGACATACCAATTTATTTCGATCATTCATTTAAGTCAGCATTGCTCAAAATAAGAACATAAGTACCCCATGAGGTCAAGCCTGCCTAGCCTAATAGTAATAAGGAGACATTAGTTACTTCAAATATTTCGATCTATATTGCTAATTTACATGGAAGACTGACTGTAAATTCCTTGCTCAATATGAAATACTATAGTAATGTTTGTATCACTCTTTATAGGACTTAAATGCTAGAAATAGAAATCAAAATATATCTATAGCTAAAAATGAGTGGTTTAGCTTTCTCTTTACAAAGCTTACTTGTGATCTCAATGGGACTAGATATTCTAAATTTATTCTAATATTTCCACTGAAAAAGCTGCTTAAATCAACAGCTGTCAGGTTTGGGCTGCATCAACTTTTCCCACATGAAGTGAAAGGGAAAACTCCTGCTGACCTCTAGGATAGGTGAGATTCTGCCTTGGAATAACTGTGGATGCTCGTAGGTAGACTCAAACCTTTTTGGTGTGCATTTCTAAGCTTTTAAGTCAGCTCAAGCCTGTGATTCTGGACAATGCTGCATGTGTTTAAAGGTTATAATTTATCAAGAATGGTGCAGGTATAGCTTTGTATCTGTGTAGGTTTTATTGTAATACTGTTTAGAATATTTATTTGTACAAAGGTTTTACTTTTGAGACCTGCAGAAGCATCAAACAGCAGATGGTCTGTCTGTGCAATACTGTGCTAATAATGCTAGCACAATCCTACCAAAATGTACCAAATTCACTAAGCATCGGGTGTCCCAATATCTGTCTGATTGAGAAAGAAAATGAGCACCCAAATCAGGGTGCAGGTGTACCAGGTATAAAAAGAGCTGTAAAGAGAGGCAGCTATGTGTATGTGTAAATCAAATGATTTATGTTTAAGGCACACGAAGAGTGCCTGGGGGTGTTTAGCCTGGAGAAAAGAAGGTCTCAGGGGGACCTTATTGTGCTCCATAACTGCCTGAAAGCAGGGTCTAGTGAGGTGGGGGCCAGCCTCTTCTCCCAGGCAACCAGTATGAGAGGAAATGGCCTCAAAGTAGGAGGGAAAGTAGGGAGAGAATCAGGTTGGACATAAGGAAGAATTTCTTCACAGAAAGCCTTGTTAAGCATTGGAATGGACTGCTCAGCAAGGTGGTGGAGTCACCATCCCTAGGGTTGTCCAAGAAATGACAGGATGTGGCACTCTAGTGCCAGGGCCTAGTTGACAAGCTGGTGTTCCATCAAGGGTTGGATCTGATGATCTTGGAGGTCTTTTTGATTCCGCAGGACATGATTTAGCCAGGTGTGTTTCATGGACGTGCATGAACAAGCACAGCATCAAGAGGGGTGCATTAGGGCACTCTGCAAACACCATGCCTAACTAAGCCTTTGCCACTGACCTTAGCCTGAAATCCTTCTTTGAGACAAGGCTAGCACTGGAGTCTCCAGACCCTGATCCCAACATCTTTGGTGCTGAATTATCTGCTGAGCTGACAGCACATACACAGAAAGAGCACCCCAGAGCTAAGAAGGCTCCAGGAACCAGATTTCCATGTGGCCAACTTCCTTGTGAGCAGAATAGCGTGGGTAAATCTAATTATAAATGTACCATTATTGGGGCAGTTTAGAAGAGATATAATATGGAGGAAGAGCAAAGTGCTTGAAAAATATTTATTACCTGCCCAGAAAACCTCTGGAACTATTTGAAAGCCTGGGAAAAGGGAAGTTGCAGGTTTCTGAATAACAGTGGTTAAGCACCTGGGAAGGAGTAAATTACAAGTCCTTTCTGTGCTCTCATTTGTGCTCTGGCTACAAATAACTATTGAATTGAAAGAGATGGGATGGGAGGGGAAGGGAATTGGACACCAAAACAACAGAAATAATTCTCAAAAGAGACACTAGAAAACAAAATTCTTGTCTCTTAGTACTTGATATTTAACTGTTTTTATAACTTATCCTGGTGTTTTGATCCTGGTTCTTTTCCATATTTATGGGCTTTAACACCTCTTATCGAGTTGTTAGAAGACAGAAACTCCACAATAGAAGTTAATTGATGGCCTACCAAGTCCTGATATCTGACTGTGGGCTGTGGCAAAACTGAGGATGATGGAGCTGTGGTTTAGTGCTCCTTGCTGGCACCTAGTATGTGACTTGGATCGAATTTAGGTGTTCAAGCACAAGTGTTTATAAAAGGCACCACAAGGTTAGTTTGACTGGAGCCTTAATCTTATATCATGAGAAGTATCTAATCTGGAGGTGCCTTAATTTTTATTCAGAAAGTTCCATGATTTTCAGTGCCTCTGGGTGTATGAAGAGCTGCTGGTTATTCTGGATGTTGTTCTACATGTTGCTGTGTTTTACTCACTTGTCATTCAGTGTGAAATAGGGAAATATTTCTGTGATTAGCCTGTAACTGCTGGACTAAAAATATAACACTTTGGTACCCTAGATCACTCAATCATAGATGTTCACTCGAGTAGTCAATTCTGCAGACCCATAAACACACCAGTACCAATGATAATCAGAAAAATGACTCCCTTGTTCAAAGGGAAAGATACAGCTCCTTTTTGTGTGTCACAGCTCACATCTGTAACAGCTTGAAGGACTGGGTTCAGTTTTTCAAATGAGGCCCCCTGTTATTAGGAGGATGTAGCAGAGTTTTGCTGTATGCTTTGCTGATGTTAAATATAAGTCACAGATTAAGCTCAAGTCATCTGTGTCTTTCTCACGAGAAGAATGAACAGCTCAAGAAAACACATATGATATCTCAGTTTAATGAGCTGTGCCAGTGATAGATTAAACAAATATATTTCAGAACTTAATTAGAATTAAATAAAAAATCAGGAAACAGTGACTTTTGCTTTTTCAAATATTTAATTGATTATACCTGCAGGCACCGAAGCAACCTTTTTTCTGATGCTGACAATGTGAAGAACAATTAAATAAAACCAAAACCCAAACTAAAACTCTTCTGCAAGTTCTTGGAACAAAAGCAACAAAATAATAATTTGACATGTATTATTTCTGAGAGAAACTTCATTCTTAAAAAAGAAGCAGCAGTTAATAGAAACTGATTATAATAATTTTTCTGCTCTCTTATCCCCTAACATGTCTCTTAAGGATACTTTGACTTGAGAGTTCTGCTGTACAGGGGCATAGCCATGATCCAGGTGCTGGTTATTCCCATTGCAGTGTTATGTTCAGTGTAGCACACATCATCCAGCATGGCATGTGCAGGGTGCTGCTGATCACTGTGATTGATGATTGATACTGCATTGCTGGAAATGGGAAACCGGGAATAACTTGTACCTGTAGCAAGTACTGTGGTGGTCTAAGTGATGCCTGATGTTGTTGCAGGTACAGCTTCCCCTTTTACTGATACTCCTTCCTCTCTTTCACAAAGCACTGAGATTCTCAAGTAGTGCAGCAGATTGGGCCTTTAAAAAACCAAACTTTTAGCCAAAGATGTCAGAGGAACTCTGAACTATTACCAATTAAAGCTTCGCTACTGGAAGCTGGGCTGGGAAGCTAGTGTTGTATTAGTTTATTACAAATGAAAAATCTAATACAAAGAAGTAAAAACTATAACCTAAGTAGTGTAACAGTATCTGCCCCATCTCCTTTTCTACATCTTGTGGCAGGGACTTGCATTTCAAAAGACTCTAATTTCATCTAGATAGTATAATGTATTATTAGATAAGTAATCCTGCTACTTGGATATGTTGTCATTTCCTTTCAGATAAATTGAAAGAGAACACTAGATCTTAAAAAAATACTGATTATAAATTTTGCTCAAACTTTAACTACTTGGGGAAAATGCTTTACTTGGGTACAGCACTTGACTCTGCTTAATCATTGTGTTAGAGTATTCAAATTTCCAGGCATTCCAAGTAAAAGATAATTAAGATAGGGAGGTCAAAACTTGGTTATCATCAAAGCCAACTGACATAGGAGTTATTTATAAGGCTGCTTGCGTTTTGGATCCTGAGCGATGCAGAGAGCAACACATTCTTCTGCTCTTTTCCAGCAGTACCTGGAAGAATGGAAAGAGAGATGATGCAATGTGTATAGAGGGGAATCACACACTCAAACCAACAACTGAAACACTGACGATGTTGAAAAGGAGGAGGGAGCACTTTATCAGCTTCAGCCATGCTCTATATCTTCCTTTTCATTCTCTCTGGAAGATATTTTCCTTTATGTGTATCACATGTGTCAAAGTTATGCAATAGCTGTATGCATTCTACTCCAGAAAGAGAGCTGTGTTCTTAGCCTGAACTCCAAATCTTCCTGCACCAGTGTTGATTAAGCCTGGCCTGATGCTTTGAGCATCTGCTGTGAGTGCCAGGGGATGGATTCAGACCATGTATCTATATGCATGGTCTTTTGCCTGCTGCATTTTCTTGGTAGTGCTTCTCTTTTTAAATTTTCTTTTTAAAAAATTTTTAAATATTTTCTCCAGCTTTTATCATAAGAGGTGAACTAGAATGAATGTCTAGCCGTTCCTCTTGAAAAAGCTTTTGCCCCGAGAAATAACAGAGGCTATTGTAAATTGTTCTGCACCAGTGATGCCCAACATGGTGTGGATGGAATACACAGAGTTGATGTTGCTGGGAGCTGGGGAATCATGCACTGAACCCCTGCTCATCTCTACTCACGTAGACTGGGCACGGACAAGCAGGCTGTCACCAGCAGAGAGAGTCAGGGTTTTGCCATCCATGGCAACAGTCGATGTGCCCTCCTGAAGGGAAAGAAGGCTTTCAATTTTCCACATCCTGTCCCCACCAGAAAGGAAATGCTGCATGTACAGAAATCTTTCCTGCTGAAAGAACACCTCAAACCTGTTCTGTTTCATAAGGTCTAGCTAAATATTCAGTTGATCTTGTCGGTATAACACTATTAGTAGCAATAAAAATATTTTTCATTGTTTGCTGTTCTCCCTCATGAAGTAGCAACTCATTGCCTGATTCTTGGGGTACACTGCCACCAATCTAACTTAGAAGCCTACAGGTTGGTACAGCTCCAGAAATTACAGACACAATCTTCTGCAGAAGTACAAGCTCCTCTTCTACTTTTCTGATTTCTCATAGCTCTTTAAGTCTTAAAGAGCAGTTCTCAAGTCAGTAGGGGGCTGACTGAAATTACTGAGTCCCTCCATTTTGGAATGGACTAATTATTATTTTGCCAAGCAGGGGAATCAGATTCTTGCCAGCCACAAGGTCTTGATACTACAGGCTGATGTAAGCTGCAGTGTAAGCAACTGTCATTCAAGATTATGACTTCTTTAATTAGTTTTTGATAGTCACCGTGATTCTCAACAGAAGAGGAGGTAATATCTAATATCTACCTCCCAAGCTAGCCTGTCTTGTGTAAGCAAAAATTAGCTTTTCTTTGGGTTGCAAATGTATCCTAGAAGCAAGTTTAATGAAGGACATCTGGATCACCTACAGTTCTGACTTTGTATACAAGTTTACAGACTTTATATTAGCTTATTCTACTTGATTCCAGTTTGATTTCAGGATGAGGACAAATGTTTCAAGGCAGAACCAAGAGGTGATGTTGCTTTTTTGCTTGGAGGCATTCTCGTATATTTACAGGATGTAGGCTAGGTAGAGTGCATTAGAATTCCCAACAAGGTTGGGTGCCAGTATCTCTGTCAGCAACATACATGATAAGGAAAAATAAGCTGGTTTTATGGTGGCAGCACTTTACAGTTATTTTTCATTACAATTTAAAGCTGAAAGGTGGTGCTATTGATGATCTTTTCTATGAGAAGGCAGGGAATCACTCCACTTTCTGTTGATAGAAGACTTTACTACTGTTCAGTCTGAACTTAAACATGAACTCATCAGTTAACAAGTGTGAATTGCCACATACCAGCTGCCATATCCAGATATCCGAATTCTTTTTACTTTTCTCAGTTGTTCCTGGTCCATAAGCTATAACCTAAAAAAAAAAAAAAAAAAAAAAAGTAACAGTTTCATCCAAGTGACCAAAGTGTCCATATTCATCTTCCAACTGCATTTAAAGCATTCTATTTTTGCAGGAGAATATTCATAGGAGATGATATTATTTTTACAGACATTAAAATTCACACTGTGTTTGGTATTCTCATATTGATTCCTACTGATAAAAAGGGAACTGGTCACACCTGCCACTCCTTATGCTCTTCTGCATCCTCGCTTATCTATTCCTTCTGCCTCCCACTCTCAGTTTTGCATCTATATGCTTCCTGCTTCTGTTCTTGGAACAGGCACTTCCTCCTCATGAACCCTGGGCCCTGTCAAGAGCCGGTTGAAGTAGAAAAGTTTCTTCTATTAACATTAAAAACGCTGCAGACAGGACTTCATCTTTCTCATTTTCTGCCTCCTCTGTGTTCTTCCTGACTCCTGATTCCCACACTCTGTCACTTTGCTGTCAACTGTATTGGATTCTTTGGAGCGTGACTCCAAGTAATTCTGGGGAAAAATATGTTTTGTAAACATCACGCGTACAGCACAGATATCAAATGTTGACAGCTTCATTTACACCCAAACTAGACTGTGTTTGACTAAACTGTGAAGTGGAATGTTTTAGGGCAGCCCAGGCTCTCTGGTGGCTGTCCAGTTTTCCTTGTTTCCACTTTATGTAGATGGAGGGGGAGGAAAAAAAAGTGTTTACATACCCAGATCAGACTTGGACCATGAATACTGCTCAAACACATAAAGAAACAGAACACACTTGAGTAGCATTAGCATCACACTGGTGCTTCTGATTTGGGAAATATGGGGAGAGGGACAGGGGAATGAAGGAATTATTTTAATCCTAAAGGAAATGAACAGAAATAAAGCTCAGATTGATTCTGTAAATGGAAGTAATGTGCTAGAAAGTCCCTGCCCTAAGATAGTCAAATCAATGGACCAAATACAGGTACTTCTGTCAGATGCATAACTTTGCTGTCTATATGTTGCTCCCAGGCCTGGATTCACTCAGTCTGACCAGTAGGCACCAATTATCTGCACCTTTTAAAAAGATCTCTTTCTTTTTAGAGAAATTATATCCCCTTACCTCTGTTTCAAAGTTATCTCCAAACATACTCAAGGATTTCTTCTGTTTAATTTCACCACGATGATCATTTAACCAGCTCGAGAAGGAAAATGGCTCCATAACAGAAGTGGAATTCAGTGGGAAAGGTGTTTCTTTCAGGAGTTCATCTGTAAGCAAGGCAGAGGGCTATCAGTGATACTTGCTTCCCTGGGTCTTTGCAAACATTTTAACTGAGAGATCAATTTACAGACACTATCTAGTCAAAAGTCAGTTGTAACAGTAAGGAGTGCTAGAGTTATTATCAGAACTTTTTGAGATTGCAAGGTGCACATGTTATTTGTTTGTCTTTATGGAGTGACTTCAAAGATGTTGTCAGAACTGTGTATTCAAGCAGTATACAATACACTACCTCGTTCTTCCTGACATAGTCCTCATTCTCTTTCAGACCAGATTTTGCACTGGTAAAATATCATGTATCATCTCAGGGCCTTTGCACATATCATATCCTTCTAAAAGCAGACTTGGGCCTATATTATCCAACAATTAAGCTTATTCTACATCTCTCACATAGTTAGTACTAGCTTTTGTTTCTTCTCCCCTGTATTTCTTCTCTCCTAGGTATCTCCTTGTTTTTAAATACATTGGCCGCAGTGAACCAAACAGATTAGTACTACCTAAAATTTAATACAATGTATTTTTTGGTGTTTTTGGAGCTGTAGCTGGATTTAATTTCCAGTAATTCTCCTTCCTAAATGACTTGATTTAAAATAGCTGGAGGACTAATTGCAGTGTCAGTATAGCTGGCAAAATTCAAGCTTCATGCTCCATGTTGCTGGTATATGAGAGGAGTTTTAGTTATTCACCAACTCATAGTGAAGTGCAAAGACAGAGCAATTACCTTGGTGATTCTTAGTTTGTTCTGAGACGCCATGAGGAAACACCCATCGAGTAATTTCAGGCAGTAATGCCAACCAGATGCTGGAAAAACTCCCCGGATGGTTTGCTCCCAAGTGTATTGTGGTAATAAACTCACAGCCAAATCTTAGTCTTGGTGCTAGTAATAGAACAGCTCTTTTTAAAGTATTAGTTTATTCATTATTCAATATTCTTTTGGTTCTGTTCTAATGCTGAATTTCACTGCTCTGCAGTGTTTTGAATGCATAATTTCAGTTTATTTTGTACACAGTCTTTGAACAATATGTGAGAGGGTCAGTGCATGCAAGGGGTAGCAGTGTGCTGAAGATAGTTTGTTGTTCATGGGATCCCAGTAAACACTGAGTACCCATCTCCAGATAATCTGGCTGGGATCCTACCCCTTTTGTTGTAGAAACAAAAGTTTGCTATTCAAATTTCTTCTCTGTTATATTGGGAATTTCGACCTGATAACCTATTGTGGTTCCTTCCAATCTCACCCATGCTGTGATTTTGTGATATTAAAATGATTATACTTTTAAAAATAATTTATTTTATTCTGAACTCGTAAGTATTAAGAAGATCTAGTCTTGAACGCTCTACATTTTATAGACTGATAACACTAAAATGCAGTGTTAAGGTATTTAGTGATTTAGTTTTGCTGCTTCATTTTTCTCACTGCAATATGACCAGTTAGGGGTTTTTTTCTTAATTTTCACGGGTTCATCATACATCCTTTAGAGGTAATTAGGAACTCATACACACTTTGTCCTTAAATTATGGATATGCACAAATGAGGCTGCAGTGGAAAATTGCTTCTTTGACTAGAAACTGAAACAAAGGTCTAAAATATTATGTTGTGTTCACACACAGCAGAGGAGGAAAAGAAAAGAAAAATTATCTGAAATTTTACGAGAAGGTTCTCAGTACAACTAGTATTCCAAAAGATGTTAAAATATTTTGTTCTATTAATAGCTGAAATCTTTACCAGTTGTTTTTGTTTTATTTTGTTTTCAGAATAAAACTCATCATTTGAATTCAGAAAAGCTTATTGTAGTTTTTGGAATGCAAGAAAGTTACTTGTTGGTAGAGCTTTATACTAAAATGCATGTCCTAGTTAAGAGAGGTATATGGGTTTTTGGTGGTGAGTTTTTTGTTTGTTCGCTTTTTAAAAAATAAAAAAGCATATGGAACCTGGTAGGATAAGAGACAAATACTGACTGAGATGCTGAGGATATCCTGCTCAACTTGGGGAATATTTCTTCTCCATAGTTTAAGAATTCCAACATTGAGCTGACAAGTTAGTTCAGATTTTATATGCTGGAGAATGAATAGCAAAAGTCTGTCCCTCAAGGATGGGTACTGAGGTGTTTTTAGGCAAGGAGAACTATGAATGTTCTTCATGAGTTGCAAGGAATTTGGGGTAAAAAAGAAAGCCAAAATACTTATTTATATTTTGACCAAGAGGCAATGCAAATCTAACAATAAAAGTTTGTACTTTAACTTTTGTCTGTTATTCTTCATAAACCTAACTTTGCTATTTTCCTCTTTTTGCTGATCTCTGACTCCAGTTGCCCTGATGAACACACATGGGACAACAGCACAGAGTGGCCTGTGCCAAGTGCAATACATCCTGCACTTGCTATGGTGCTCTATCTTTTCTTGCTTGTGATAAACAGCTGACTTCTAACAGTTTAATTTACTTTCAAGTAGAAGTGGACTTGTCTTTTTTTAGACTTGAAGTTCCTTAGTTTAAGAGATTTTTTTTGACACTTGTCTTATCAGCAGGCCCTAGCCTGTGAGGGGGTTTTGGCTTAATGCTACTTTTGATGTTAATGGCACTTGCCCAATGACAGCATAATGGCCTTTAAAAACTGTGCCCACATGGACTTAACCTTTTAGTGTGACCCAGTACAATGATTTGATTATGTGTTACTGCAGAACAAATGAGAGAGCACTGTGGTGATGAGGTGTGTGACAGACATGTGACATTATCAGTAGACTATTTGACTGAGCTCTTATTTAACCCTGATGCTGATCCCTTGCGTGATGCTAAAAGCTGCAGGTGTCCTAATGCTTGGGAAATTGAGCTAACAAGCTACAATGAAGAGGATCCAATCTCTTGCAGTTCCACACATATTGGAATTGAAGCCTGTGCTTCTAAAGCAACTGAGTATTTCTAATCAGGCTAATGGCTTATATTTAGATATTCTTGCATATATTCCTGTTTAGCCTTCATTTGCTTTCAACAGTATCTGAGGAAGTGCAAGCTTGTGTTTCTGGAGTTCTGTTCTAGCAATACTGTGAGGCAAGGAGACAACATGTTTAATGATGGTAAAGGTAAAAATATGCCAGAAAAATGCAAGAAAATGGCACTTCTAAGCTAATCAGCTAATAGTCTTGTACAAGTTTTTCCAAGTAATATAACGCTAAGTGGAACATCAAATCTGATATTTTCTTACATTTTCAGACATCCATTTAAAGGTTCAATACTAAAATTCAGTTGTGGATATCATTACTATTAAAAATTTATATCACAGAAATGTGTTCTTTATGGGATTACAGCTATTTTCAGGTTTTAATTACAATGTGATGATATAATGTTGAGCTGAAAAATACGTCGCGTTTATTTAATGAGTTTGTAAATATTTAAAAAAGGTTTTAGAGGAAGTTAAACAAAACTGTACTGAGAGTGAGAATATTAAACTGGGCAAAGAAGGAGAGAACAGATTGTGAGAAAAAAGCAAGCTGAATGTACAGGTAGTTACAGCCTCAACAGAGACTATCTATCTAGAGAAAAGTTTGAGCTTGCTGCAAGTACTGTGGTTCTGATGCAATAAAGAGAACAGGTAAAGAAGATTGACACTGACCTACCAGGTGTATGTGGCTGTATTTGCTTAACTCACATGTTACATGGAAGGCCCCCCTTCCCTGGTGATAACCTCAAGCTTTCTTGTTAAGAAATCCAACTGTCTCATTTTCTTGAGCCCTACTATCCCTAAGCTCTTCCTGTAGCTCTCTTCAAGAGAGATTTGTTCAAAGGAAAATAGCAATGAAGCACTTGAAGTATATCAAAATGAGGTCAATTTATGATTACATGTTGGCTTTATGAAAAATTATATCCTTCAGTGATGTGTAATCCTTCATTTGTAGACAGCACTTTCTAGATGGAACAAGGTTCAAATCTTTAAATCTCCACGTACTCTTACTAATTATCCCACCATCCTGAGGTGCTGTGCTGCCTCAGAAACAGTCTGTCCCTAAGTGCTGTGGCCCCATCTCCATGCAAGGATGTGACACAGTCCATTACAAATGCTGTCTCCCCCTGTAACAGCAGAAGATATCATTCAAAGTGGAGTGATTGAATCCTCTGTGTTTTTTCATTTCTTAACTGAGTGTAAAATGGTCCAGACTAGGGATAAAGAGCTCAGGAATTATTTTTGAATTATATATTAATTTGTTTCTGTACATTTTCTAATAATAATTTTCATGTCTTCAATACTACATCATAATGAATAATTCCAATGAAAGAGTTTTGCAGCATTTCACATTTAATTGCCAATGCCAGCAACAATACATTCCTGAGGATGTTTTTCCCATGTGTGCCTAACTAATTTCTATGAAAAAGTCTGTTTTATTCTCCAAGTTAACAGAAATGTCAATGAGCCTAGTAGGATTTTAATACTTCTGCAAATAAAACAGGTGAAATGAGGGACATAATTTCAGACATCTGGGTTTGACAAAACAAGTAGTTAGCCCAGTCCACATAAAAATCCAGAGTGAAAGCACTGAGAGTGAGTGATTACTTTGAGAGTTGTTGGTTCATTTCCCTGCTGTGGAATATAGATGCAGAAGCATTTAGTTAAAAATACAGCACTCACTTGGTGCAATCATACATTTCCCTATGTAACTGTGTATTTTTTTTGTAGCATGCCCTGAGAATTGGCATGACTGCTAATTTATGACTTGTCCATGTAATTATTTCTAGGCACATTTTTCTTTGTGTCATTAAATCTATGCTGGAAACTGAATACCTTTTCCCCCCCTAATTCTAACTAAGAAGTTTGATGAGGAAATCTTTGAAAAATATTTATGTAATAAAGAAATACAGCTTTTTAAAAAGGAGATATCATCAGCCAGAAGGAAAGGAATAAGTTAAACCAAGAAAATTCACTATTTAGGCCATAATTCTTCTTAAAGGTTTTTCATGATCTAACTAGGTTACCGTAATTAAGAATGACAAATTATTGAGAAA